CCCCCCAACTTAAATCCGCACCCTCCATGAAGTTTCTACCTATATCCCAACAGGTGGGATTCGACTACGCTATTCGATTCGTCAAAGACGGCAGTTACGGGTCTGTCTTGTCCAACGGATCTTGGGACGGTATCGTCGGAGAACTCATAGCCCACGTGAGTGACACGTCTCCGCCCTGGTACAGAGAGTGTGTATATCGGTTTTGATCTATTCGGGAAAAACAAGAAAACCAATACAAAAAGCAACTCCCCCCCCCCCAAAAAAAAAGGAAAAGAAAAAAATCCTGGGATGAGTTGGGGAAAGGTGAGGGGTGAGGGGGTTCAGGATGCTGCAGCTCTTGGAACTGATATTTTGAAACCTCAGAGTGACAAAATTATATCTGCTCAATACCTAGTTTTCAGAAACTAGACGTCAAAATTGTGGAGTTTCACAATTTGTCAAGCTTTTTAAAAGATCAGTTCTTTAAATATCTTGATAACAACGAGTATTCTTACTACTTGGATAGAGCAGATAAAGCATTAATTGCTTTCTTAACTCATTGTATTTGTAACTAAAAGCAGCAGAGATTGTCAGATAGAATTTTGTAACTCTGAGGTAGCGATTTGAAACGTCCTCCCACCACAGTTCTTCCTGTTTGCAACATCACACAAGGAGGTATCACCACTTATGGGTCTCCGGGTTTAAAGTGCCTGGCTGGCTCCTAACTAGGTACGCGAACATTTTGCTGAAACTCCGTAATTAAGGGAGTTATTTTATTATTTTATTTGTTGGTGTTGTTTTCTTAGTCGTTTTGTCGCAGGTTGTTTTTTTCTTTTCTATGAGGTATGTTGCATCTAAAGCAAGAAAAAAAAGGAGAAAAAATTAGAAAAAATTAGAAAAGAAGAATGACTGTATCACTGCTTGAAATTTCGTCAATAGATCCTCTTCTCCGCTTAACGTGGTCACTTTTCATGGAATAGCCCTTGTGTAATTATAATGTTTATTTCTGTATTCGTCTATGTGTGGCGTCGGTAGCCTAGTGGTTAGGCTCCCTGACTCATGATTGTGAGATTACGGGTTCGGGGGTTCGAGCCTCAGCTCTGCCCGACATTATGTCCTTGAGAAAGGCACTTTACACGTATTTCCCACTTGGCTCGGTTCTTTTGGAGATGGACATTATAAACTCGGGGCTACCGCCTCTGAAATAATCTAAACGTGTTGATAGGGGTGTTAAACGTATACCAGCGGGTTGGCGGGTGCTCTGGTGTAGTTTGCTCCTACTTTCCTATCAAACATCTATCATCTTTATCTCCCCTCCTTCTTTTTTGTGTTTGTTACTCTCTTGTAATATCTCTAATCTTCGGCACGTATATGACCTTATTGTGTTGCAAGTGTCGTAAAACTCTTACTAAAACAAAACACGTCTACCGTGTCACCCTATTCACCATTTCCCTCTGTATGCGAACAGGAAGCCCACATGGCTCGGTTCTTTCGGATGTGGACGTTAAAATCAGGAGTACCGCCTCTTATACAATCTAAAAATGTTGTTAGGGGTGTTAAATCTATACTATTTCATCATTATTTTTCCCCATTTTCCCCATTTCCCTCTGTATGCGAACAGGAAGCCCACATGGCTCCGTCCTTTCCGAGATGGACGTTACACTCAGGGGTACCGCCCCTTACATAATCTAAAAGTGTTGTTGGGGCGTTAAATCTATACTATTTTCACCATTTTCACCATTTTCACCGTTTTTACCATTTCCCTCTGAATGTGTCCAGGAAGCCCACATGGCCATCGCCCCGTTCACCATCACGGCAGACAGGAGCCGCGTCATCGACTTCACCAAGCCCTTCATGAGTCTAGGGATCTCCATCATGATCAAGCGGCCCCAGCCGGCCGGCAAACATTTCTTCTCTTTCATGGAGCCGCTCTCCTACGAGATCTGGATGTGTATCGTGTTCGCCTACATAGGCGTCTCCGTCGTGCTCTTTCTCGTCAGCAGGTTCAGGTTCGAGTCCTTTTTTAACCAAACAGTGTTGATAGGGTCGTACTACCAATACGAATTCCCCATTTTTTCAAGTCCTTTTTTTTTATCTAAGAATATGAGAAAATGAAAGGAATAAGTTAGAAGGATCAGGTTATCAGTAGATCACAGGTTTATGAGAGCTTCTTGAAAACCAATAAAAAAATTTTAATAATTACTGGGATGGCCAGGCCTTGCTGAGAGCGATACAACATCCTGATACCCCC